CTGGAATATTTAGCGCAGCGTATGTACTGTCTAAATGAGAGTTTCCCTCTAATGAGCCGGTCTTTAGGTTGCGTGATGGTCTTTGTAAAACCTGCTGCTGAGGAACATTGTATCTAGAAGCATAAATTGCTGAAAGGATATCACAGCATAAATTAATATCACTATTTGTAACAGTAAGCATATTAGAGGTACATAATAACTCTGTAAAAACCACCGAGTGACTAATTAAAAGACCATTTTACAGAGTGATAGTTCACTCCAATTCTCACTGACCTGCAGGGAGCCTTATTGATGTTGATGCTTGATCCCCCCCCCCCTTACCCTCGTTTCATGTCGTTAGTCGTAGTCTCCTTTATAATAGCGGCTATTAGAGTTACGCACGAACAGCGACCTCAAGAGAGACTGAGCCACGCCCAAAGTATGATATTGGGTAAACGCCAGTCACAAGGGAGAACTTAACGGTGCCTTACATAACGTATAAGCTTAGTTCTTGATATTATGAAACTCTATCTGATTTTCCAGCCAAAAAGAGAAAGGAAAAAGAAGTAACCGATATAGCTGATTTTGTAACCAGCCTATTGAATGTATCGGCCTACATTTTAATGGCCCCTTGCAGGCTTCGTAACCATTTTGTTCCTCCAACTCCAACTCTGAGTTCGTCTTCGTATTCCTTGACATTGCACATGTATTCTAGTAAAACAAATTCAATGCAATGACAAAAGTGTCATAAAACAGTTTAGAAAATAATGCAATCAATCAAGTTAATTACTGACCCATCAAGAATGGTAAGCCCGCTTTTTGACGAGGATGAAAATTAAAAGCACCTCAGAAGGTTGGAAACTGTAAAACAACTGTTATACATCCCAATCTTTTTCCTAGACTCTTTGCTCCCAGTAGGAGGAAGAAGTCTGCTACTAGGGATCCAACGAGATAATAACGTGTCCCCGGATGATGCACATCCACATCAGAAAAACTGAACTTGGTTACCTAATTAGTTACCTGAATTCGTTACATAAGTCCATCACGATCTTGGCAACAAAAATTTTAATTTTAAACGTGTAGATGGTGCTAGAATTTGAAAGAGTAAGTCGAACTTAAACTCACTTATTTACCTGGTTGGTTTGATCAGAGGTACTTGTATGAGTGTTCTTTCTGTGAGTAATAAATAATCGTGTCAATCAAGCCTAAAGTCAAAACACAGCTGCACGTAAGTCAAAAACCAAATGCCTATGACTCTGACATGGAGCGAAATATTGTAGCAATCATTTTTTTGGCATCGTAAGAAATCTAAACTTAGTTTTCAACAATGTTAACAATCCACGGACTCGTCTTGTTTATGTCCTATTAAAAATTGTCACTGAGAAGGCGCTGGATTTAGTGTAAGCCACAAAAGTGTACAGTTTCCCTTTGCAGCAAATCTCGTGCAGGTATGGGAAACTTCTTTAAGATAAATACACAGTCGTCCCACAAACATAACGGAAGTTATATCTTAAAAAATTCTTGTTCTCGTGTTATTCATGGACAGTCAGCCGCGTTCACACATGGCCCTAAACTTTTATCAAATGGTTACCTTGATCTACGACGTCGACAGACAAAAACTACAGCAACTAGTAACAACACAAATGCCGCGGAAACAGTCACTCCCGCTATGATTCCTGGCTGAGAGAACGAGCTGGCTTCATCATACCTCTGTTTTCCTCCTAAGCTGGCCTGAGAACATGAAACAGAGTAAAAGCCCTACAAAAACTAGTATGAAGAGACCACTATAAAGACAACATTATTGAAGAGCGGCTCTAAACTATATAGCCCCACACAAATACACATAGGCGTACGGGCACCTTCGGACTTGGGGGGAGGAGCGGTGACCTTATTACCCGAAAAAAATTACCCAATGTCCGAAAGAGTGTTGTTTAAACGCACTCAAATCGCAGTAAAAACAAAAACGTTCATAATTCCGGCTTACGTCTCATGAAACTGTTATCATTCCAAAAATAGTTACTTTGAAACCTCGCATACTCTATTTACCTTGATCGACAGACTAGTAAAATCAGAAACTTATAAAAGAAACAGTTAATTCTTCCTGGTATGAAAAGTTCGAGAAAATTTTAAAAAGACTCTTTGTGGAGCGACCCTGGAGCCATTC